AACTCAACTGAGGTCTGAACCTTGGTCCTCTAACTTCATCTTCAGCTCAGAAGCACTACACTTCTGAAAAAGGGGAACAACAGCAAGGCTGAGTACTACCACCGTACTCAGCAAGCCACACCAATGATGCAGACGTGCAAGGGCAGACAAAGAGGGGTTTGTGGCTATTTGCATAAAGGCGGTTGTAAAACATTTTATTGAGCAAAACGGTAAAACAGTTCAGTAATTAAAGTAATATTAAATTTCCACTGATCAACGCTACACCACGTTGAACAGGCCCAACCAACCTACCAGAACTACAGTGCATTGGGTCGATTTATTAAGTGTGAGACTAATCACGGTGAATCTGGTCGATCGCCTATAACCGCGGGCACGGCTATTCGAATAGTTTTACTTTGGCCAAAGGTGCACAACTGTACCCACAAGACACAATCCACCGGCATGTCACCATGTCATCATGTGCCCTGATGCACACATCACCATGTCGAGTGATTGTGACAAGACCCTTCATATAACCCCCTCTGACCAATCGCACCGCACCTCAGGTTTCACCCCCACTCCTCGCAAGGCAGCGGGCAGTCCCCTCTCGTGCCACGGTGAATCCAGAAGCCGATCAACTGAATACCCCAGCCAACCCAACTCCATTACGCCCACCCTTGCCTGGGAACGTCAGCCAGAGGAAAGCTATACTTCAAGTCAGGCAGTTACCCATTCCTGCTTGTGGCAAGCGCTGTATGTCTTCCAGGGTTTCCCGCGAACTGGTCCTTCATTGCCATGTGTGCGACCAGCAAAACCATGCACCCACAGCCCACCAATAAGTCGCATTTTAGTTGGATAATTATGGCCAATAAACATGGCCGGATGTCTCGAGCACGCAGCTCATTCAGATACTAAAAAGGTCTAATACTGCAATTATCCCATTAACTGAGCTAGTGGTAATTAAGCATGGCTAAGCATATAGTTCTAGCTATGTCACATAAGTAACATGAGCTAGTCGATTTATCATCCAAGGTTGACAAAGAACAGATATCAAGTAAACATGGCACAAGCGAGCAGATAGGTAAACCCTATTCCCATGTAATTAGCAAAACATGCATATTTATTTGCAAACGATAAAACATTTATAAATTGGGATCAACATGCACAAGGGGAATGTGTGACTTGCCTTGCTTCTTCAAACAATCTTCCGAACTCTTTTCTTCGCGACCGCGGACTTTCGAAACGACGGATACTACACGCTGGCACGCAAAACAAGGAAAATCTCTAATAAATACCAAGGAAATAGTACATAAAAGTAAACAAACATGTAGAGCTCAATTTTAGATGAGTTTTGCAAGTTGAATGGCTCAATTCGGAGTTCGGATGAATTAGATATGAATTTTAGAAGTTTTGAACCATTTTAATGGATTTCTAGAATTATTAATGATTTATTGCGCAATTAATAATGGTTTATGACGTCACCAAGGGGAATAGGTGGCGCCGACAAGCGGGCCCCACCTGTCGGTGGCTCAAAGAAGGTCGGCACACGGTGGACTCGGTCTACGTGCGCACTGCCCGCGGGCGCACCACATGGCAGCCACGAGGTGGCCACGGCGGACGGGGAGGACGAGGTGGCGCCGATGTGGCACCACAGGGCAGCGACACCAGGCGGCACGGGGAGGGCCACGTGGACGGCCCAAATCGCCCCTGTAGGGGGATCGGGCGGCCACGGGCGAGCAGGAGCCGGCTCACCGGCTGGCCGGCCGGGGAGCGACGATGCACGGCTTGATGGTCGCCGGCGATGACCACTGGCGTGGTGACACACGCGGGAGGCGGCGGAAAAAGGGGAAAGGGAGAGGAGATGGAGGGGTTCCTCACCGAGGGGCGCCGGCGGAGCTCTGGCGAAGGGAGGTGGCGTTGCTTCGGCGACGGGCGGCGCTTAGGAAGAAACGGACGAGGGTGGCCGCGACCTGCGGAAGGGGAATGAGGGATTAAGGAGGGGAGGACCGGAGCGGTGCAGCTAAAACAATGGCCGGTAGCGACAGTACTAGGTGGAGCTCACCTTGAGTGATAGGGATGGGGTTTCGGCGATGATTCACGGAGGATGAGCGGTGGCCGAGCTTGCCCTTGGGACGGCAAAGCCGGTGGAGGTGGTTGAGCGGCGCAGCGACGGCTAGGACGGCAGTGGTGGTCTGCTGGAGACGGCGTATGGTGGTGGTGGCTCGGGCGTGTGGTGGAAGTGGCACTAGGCGGTTGTTTTGGAGAGGTGGAGTGGCGGCTGGCGTGCGGCAAGGTGTGGCGAATGTGGTGGAGGCGGTGGTGCGGCATGAGGTGGCTGGGAACGCCGGCAAGAGGCAGCCGGAGACGACACAGGCGGTGGCGGCTCGGGTTGATGGCGAAGCTGGTGGCTCGGGGGTGGATTGGAGGATTGGAGCGGCTGCCGGTGTGCGGCGTGAGGTGGTGAAGCCGGTGGTGGTGGTTTCACGATGCGGCGACGGCAGGAGCGGCAACGGCGCGCTGTTGGAGAGCTCCAGCGAGCGGCGCAGCTCGGCCTCGCGCGGGGAGAGCGGGAGAAGGCGCGACGGGCTCGGGAAATTTGGGGAAATGGGAGAGGAGAGCACGAGGATCGTTTTTATGGGCTCGGGGTGGTGAGATCGTGGCTGTGGAGGGTGGAATCGGCCGGCAACGGCCGACGACGTGGGTGACATTGTGGGCGAAGTGGGGACTCGATTTGGCGCAAAAAATTGCGGAAAAGTGGGGGATTTGGTGGAGGAGATGGAGGGGAACCGATTTCACTCGGTTTGGGCGCGAGGGCGCGGGTGGGAGGGCGCCGGATTCGGCGGGACGTGGGCGGCAACGGCCGGCCATGGGCGGCTTCGGCCTGGGAAGCCGAAGGTAGTAGGAGGACCTGACAAGTGGGGTCGCCGGGCCCACCTGTCGGGGAGGGAGAGAAGGAGGAGACCGAGGGGGTTATTCAGACTTTGTGCGAGGGGAAGTCGATCGCGCCGAGAAGGGTGGGGTCGGCCCGAGAGGGAGGAGGGAAGGAGAGAGGGGCGAGCAGGCTAAGGAGGGGGAAAAGATCTAGGGCCGAAAATGGCCCAAGGAGAAAGGGGAGATTATTTGATTTTCTTTTTATTTAATTGGTTAAATGATATTTGTAATAGTAAAATTAGATATTGAGCTTCGAAAATTCGCGGGAAATTTCAGAAAGTTCATTAGGGCACAAAGAATATTACAAAATATTCTCGGCCATGATTTTTAAAGGAAAATTTTAATTTCCTCTATAATTTCACTTGATTAAATTGATTTAACTTTTATTTAATTTCTAGAAAATGCATTATTAAATGATTTTTAATCCCGACGAAAATCGGGGCATTACACTATACTATTAATATATGGTCCCACCTGTTATACATATATTACGTCTTGGAGTCCGCGCTGCAGCTGGCTATATATCTGTAACCCACTGCTCTTCTCTCTCTTTTTTTATCTTTTTAAAATATATGTTTATAGCTGGTTTATAGCATGCTATTGTACATGCTCTTAGAGCACCACACCATAGCTAATAAGTGTTCCTAGAAAGCTTAATAAATTTTAATAAATTTTTATCGTATGGTATATACTCCGTAGATAGAAGATAAATTCCGTCGACGGATATCTCGACTCACCAGTATGGAAACAGGAGCGTATGGTAGTCCATCATTTTCTCCGTGTGAGACAGAAGTGTGACACCCTTGTTTAATACCTAGGGCAGGCCGCCATAAAGTCCGAAAATAACATCCCACCTCCCAAACTAATTAGCTAACTTCCTGTCTGAGCTAGGAATCCCACACCGGTATTACCTGAGATAACGAAAATTCTTCGCCTCGGACGACCGGCGTGGGGGAGCGAAATCGGGCACTCTTCCCCCATGCGACACGCATGCCAGTGGGCCCCACCATTTATCTTGCCTCCACCTGCCACGTGCCCCTATCAAACATGTTTCACCAAAGGTATTCACAATGTTTCACTATGTATATATATAATGTTGTAGTATATTGAAATATTCTTTTGCAACAAATCACCCACATATTTTGGAAACCCTCTATTAATGAAATTCGTTTCATTTTTTGTTCCACCAAATATGTTTCACCTAGTGTACTCACAATGTTTCACTATGTATAGATCTAATGTTGCAGTGAACGAAACATTCTTTTACAACAAATCACCCACATATTTTGGAAACCCTCTATTAAGAGAATTCGTTTTATTTTTTGTTCCACCAAAAATGTTTCACCCAGTGTACTCAGAATATTTCACTATGTATAGATCTAATATTGCAGTGGACTGAAACATTCTTTCGCTATTTGCTGAAACATTATTTTTATATAAGGTAAAACAATGCCCGATTTAAACGATAGTTCCACCAAAAATGTTTCACCCAGTGTACTCAGAATATTTCACTATGTATAGATCTAATATTGCAGTGGACTGAAACATTCTTTCGCTATTTGCTGAAACATTATTTTTATATAAGGTAAAACAATGCCCGATTTAAACGATTGAAACATTTTCGATATACTTAGTGAAACAATTCCGATATATATGGTGGAACATCGTGTAACTTTTAAAAATAATTCAATAATAAGCTAAAGAAAATTTCGTCGGAATATATCCATGTGTGGTTTTGTTTTGAAGATTTAATTGCAACGAATTTAATGGTGCAATCGGATCATGATTTGAATAAATAATTTAAGAAAAAAAATAGTTTAAAGTAGTTTTGTACGCATGTGTGGCGCTGACGTCATGCCCGATCGGTAGTCCCCTCCGATAAATAAATAACAAAAACGCATAAATTGGACTTCGTGTTGTCAGGTATTTTTTAGAACTGAGTTATTTCTTGACCGCCGCTGATTCCCTCAAAATTTCTGCATATATATATATATATATATATATATATATATATATATATATATATATATATATATATATATATATATATATATATATATATATATATATCCTATTATTTCACTACTTGAAACAGGCGAAGATGGCGCCACCGTGCGGCCGCGTGGTCCTCTTCCCGATGCCGTACCCGGGCCACACCATCCCCATGTTCCACCTCGCCGCCGTGCTCCGCTCCCGTGGCTTCTCCATCACCGTCCTCCACACCGAGCTCAGAGCGCCGGACCCGGCGGCGCATCCGCCGGAGTACCGCTTCGTGGCCGTGGCCGACGGCACCCCGCCCGAGCTCGTGGTGTCCGAGGACGCCGCGGCGGTCCTGACTTCGCTCAACGAGACCTGCGCCGCGCCGTTCGCGGACCGGCTGGCCGCGCTGCTCGCCGAGGAGGGCGGCGTCCTGTGCGTAATCGCCGACGTGATGTGGTACGCGCCGGCGGCGGCGGCGCCAGAGCTCGGCGTGCCGCTGATGCTGCTGATGACGAGCAGCGCGTCGAGCTTCCGGACGTTCATGGAGTACCCTCTTCTGCTTGAGAGGGGCTTCTTGCCTGTCGACGGTGAGTTTACTCCATGTGTCCATCGCTTGGAGCTCTGTGTTTTTCTCCCTACTTATTTTGCGGAAATTATGAAGATCATCAAGTTATTAGAAATATTTTCAACATATTAGGTAGATTTTCTAGATAACGAGATATAGAGAGTATATAGATTTAAGGTCCTGTTTGGCTAATGATATAGGGAAATGATTTCCCATCTATTAAAAGACATCTTTAAATCCTAACCATTTATTCTCCCTCTTTCATTTAATCCTAATCTTTCATTCATTTCCCAATCCCAATCCCACTCCCATTTCTCATTATCCAAACACACCCTAACAGTCAAGACTTGGCATCCAGCAGAAAAGAAAGAACAGTTTTTTTTTTCCGGGGAAAAGTAATGATCTATTACTCAACTAAAGCGTCAGCACAGACAGTCTGAGAAATAAAATTACAAGAATCACCGAGCCAAAAATCGGAAACAGACTCAGAGCAAGCCTTATTAGCTAGCAAGTGGCTTGCATGATTCTGGGATCGGTGGGTCTTCTGTAAGAATGAACAGATTCAACCGTCTCTGCAGTTCTAGTTTTAATCTTCCTTGAGATATGGACAGTGTTAGCCCCGTTTGCTTTTCGTTTGATGTGGATTTTGCCCGAGAATCAAAAGCAAAACCGAATAGGTTGATTCTGAAAGTAGATTATTATAATTATACTCTGTTTTTCTATCAAAATCTGACAACTGGTACAGAACTACTTTTATTGGACATGATGTATATTTAAAATAATTAACTACAAATATGTATTTATCTTCTAAATTACTTATAGAACTTATCCTAATATGTTTTTTCGTATTTGTTGTTTCACTGATTCAATCATTTCAATCAAAATTCAAACAGAGTTATTTTCCCTTATGTGCAAAATCTTTACTGATACTAAATATAACCCCTTCATATAAATGGTTCTACTCCATCTATCTGTTCATCCATTTCTCCTTATTTTAGATGCCCAAAAGGACACTCTAGTCGACATTCTCCCCCCTTTCCGAGTGAAGGATCTACAGCGCATTGACACGACAAACCTCTACAGCTTCGCCAACGTGCTTGCCAATGTAGTCGCCGCAGCGCGGCTGTCATCAGGGCTCATACTCAACACCTTCGACTTCATCGAGGGTGACAACATTTGCAGGATCCGCGACGAGCTCTCCATCCCTGTGTTTGCCATTGGTCCACTCAACAAACTCATACCACTCGTCGGAAGAAGCAGCTTTCTTCCCCCAGATTGTGATTGCCTGAGGTGGCTTGACACACAAGCCCCTAGCTCTGTGTTGTTCGTGAGCTTCGGCACCATGGCCACCATTGATGCTCAGGAGTTTCTGGAGGTGGCATGGGGCTTGGCTGGCACCAAGCTACCATTTCTATGGGTGGTTCGGCCAAGCCTTGTCCGTGGGTTACGGCTGCATTCCAGTGAGCTCCCTAGTGATTTGCAGGAAGAGATCAATGGTCGAGGCAGGATAGTCTCTTGGGCACCGCAAGAAAAGGTACTAGGTCACCCTTCTGTCCGCGCATTCATGACGCATAATGGATGGAACTCGACGATAGAGAGTATATCTGAAGGCGTGCCGATGATATGTAGGCCATGTTTTGGAGATCAGATGGGAAATGCGAGGTATGTTTGTGCTGTTTGGAGGTTGGGTGTGGAGATGGAGGTAGGGAGTGTTCTGCAGAGGGCAAAAGTTCAAACTGCTGTTGAGAAATTAGTGAATGGGGAGGAAGGTCAAAATGTGAAACAGAGAATGAGAAATCTGAGGATAGAAGCTGAAAAATGTGTTAGTAAAGGAGGATCATCAGACACCGGTCTACGTAACTTAGTAGATTCGATATTATCTTTTGGAAAATGTTGATTATCTGCACAGATATAACGTAGTCATGTCTTCGACTAATACTTGTAGCCTCTTTAAATGCGGATGGTATTGAGAAGATCATTAAATGTTGTAATATCTAGTTTTCATCTACTACTAATAACCAGGTTCAAAAATTGCCGAATAGAATTTCCAAAATTTCAGACCGCATCAAAATAGGAAGCTGTTTCGCCTGTTTTTCTTTCGAATTTCGCAAAATTAGTTCAAATATGACCTAATTTTGTGCAAATTCTAAATTATTTTGGACCGTTATATTCCAAAATATCCAAGATTATTTCGGTCACATCGGTTGCCCCCGGTGGAAATAGCCAAACTGATATATTACATTCTGCTATACCAGAAAAAAATGAAAATATATTTGTTGTGAATTTGCATAAATATACAAAATTTGAAAAAAAATATATACAGAAATTACCTGATTTGCCTGGCAGCAGGATGTACAAAAATAATCTTTAATATGTGAAAATTACTAAATAATCTTTAATATGTTTTTTCAACAATCAAGTAAGGAATAAACATGATATTAGCATCAAATGAAACTGTTTGTCAAAACATTTTTGTTGAAAGATGAATTTAATAGACTCTTTAGAAGATTGCAGATTAAATATTATATTGTTGACCAAGATTTGCTTCGCAAGAAGTGAAAGATGGGAAACAAATGAAAAGTAGGGTTTTTCATGAAACAAACTAAACAATATTCCACTAACACGGAATATATGGATAGATATATGCTAAGTATTATAAAAATAATAGATAGATATGTTTAAATAATGTGAGAGGAGATGATTGGATATGTTTACATGTTGATTTGTATAATTCAATAAATTATAGATAATATTTAATTCTTGCATAAGTAATTATTTCTACTTGCATGTTGAGCTTTAGATTGAGTATGTTGTATTTTTATAATTTATTTAGGTATATTCATAAAACATTGCGTGAAAAATAGTATATTTTAGTGTGCGCTAGAAATGTTACTATCTAAACAATATTGTGTTGGTCTAAAATGTCCAATTAATAGGCCTAGCAGCTCGGGCAGACATGATTGGGCCAGAGAGAGCCCAGTCTGCTGTAAAGAAGCGACCAGGCCCAGCTGCAGGGAGCAAGTGCTTCGGAAGGAAAAACTCCATCTTGACTCCCTCAAGTATCTTAATAGTAAAAATCGAGTACATTGACTCACTCAACTATTAATTAATACTAAGCATTTTACCGAGCTCATTGGTTTGCGAGGTGGTTTTGGCTGACCTGGCAGCCTAAGCATTTAAAAATTAAAAAATAGATGTGGGGCGCACATGTAAGTGACAGAAAAAAGAAAATCTATAGCCACAAGTCCGACATGAAGAACTTGAGATAGAAGCTTGCCCAAGCGGGGGTTGCCGGCAAGCCCTCTTGACTCCGAATCCAACACCATGCCATTGATGATGGACAACGGCGGTGGGGTGCCGCATCAGGATGGGGAGTTCTTCGTGCTAGTCGAGTCGATGATTCCGCTCGAAGGGAACAGTGCAGCGCGCCGTTGTTGCTTTGGCAGAGGCAACAGTTCAGCAACGGGTTGTTCGATATTCAGGATCCTGGCAGCCGACGTACGACAGAGTTTGATATGGTGATGGTGGCTTCTACATCCTCGGTCAACAGCAGGAACCAACGATAGATGGAGAAGACGAAGGCGTTCTTTTTGTCGATCCTAGGGACAACATTCCTGGGGTCTTGGGTTGAAGCATAGGGGTAGCTGGGGGAAAGGATGATGAGGTGAGGCGGACAGTGACAACGACATAGCGGTATGGCACTCCGATGAGGCGAGGCCAGCTGCTGAAGGAGCAAGATGACGACGTTACCACTGGTCGCCAACGAGGTCTTGCTTCTGCCAGCCGGAACAAAGGTGTGGCCACGGTAGAGGAGGTTGGAGCGATGCTAATGGAGACAGTGGTGAGGTGCTACGCTGCTCTAGTTGACGGGGAGAGGTGTCCGTTGGAGAGAATGAGAGTGAATGCGGGGCATGAGAGCCCGGAAAAGGCAAAGGGGAGGGTAGGGAGGATGTTACCGCCCCTTTATAGGTCAGAGAAGGAAGGGGAACTTCTAGGGGGAGCTCGGCTGGTCATCAATGGTGGCAGTTTGGCCAGAGTTAAAAGATTAGGCAGATTGAGACAATTAATGCACCAATTGAAGGGGAATTCGGTGGGCATTGATGCCCATCAAAGATGAAACCTATTTTTGCAGTTCATAAGAAGACGAAACGCATGTGGAGACATATCTAGAGGGTCGGCAATGTTTGGGTTTGTGGGTCAAGGAGAGGAGCGGTCGGCTGAAGGTGGAATAAAAAAAAAAGTACTTCCTCAGTTTCATATTATAAGACTTTCTAGCATTGCCCACATTCATATAGATGTTAATGAATCTAAACACACACGTGAATGTGGGCAATGCTAGAAAGTCTTATAATATGAAACGGAGGGAGTAGTAAGAATTTTAGTTACTTCAAAATTGTGTTTATTTTTCTTTTTCTATTTTCAAAATTTATTTTATTTTTATTTTGAGTTCTAATTAATCTCGTATTATGTTATACATGGACTATTTTTTCAATATTACTTATCTTTATTCTGAATTTTAACCTTCAAGTCTAGCTATTTGATGTATGGGGCATCGACTTCATGGGACCTTTCCCAAAGTCCTATGACTGCGAGTATATCCTAGTGGCCGTTGATGATGTGTCCAAGTGGGTAGAGGCAATGCCATGCAGGACCGCAGACGCTAAGCACGCTCGCCGGATGTTCCACGAGACTATTTTCCCTCGTTTTGGAACTCCGTATATGGTGATAAGTGACGGAGGGTCTCATTTCATCGATAAGACCTTCCAAAACTTATTGCAAGAACTTTGGGCTCAGCACAATATTGCCACTCCATATCATCCCCAGACAAGTGGACAGGCAGAAACGAGTAACAAACAAATCAAGAATATTCTACAGAAGACTGTCAATGAGATGGGGAAGGCATGGAAGAACAAGCTATCTGATGCACTTTGGGCATATAGGACTGCTTATAAGACGCCCATCGGCATGTCACCATACCAACTTGTCTATGGGAAGACTTGTCATCTTTCGGTAGAGTTGGAACACAGGGCGCACTGGGCTATCCGGACTTGGAACATGGACTTGAAGGGAGCCGGACAGCACAGGAAGATGCAGCTCTCTGAGCTGGAAGAATGGAGGGACAAGGCCTACCACAATGCCAAGATATACAAGGACAGAACCAAAAGATGGCATGATAAACGAATCAAGCACAAAGAATTCAAGGCTGGGGACAAGGTGCTGCTATTCAACTCATGGGTGAAGCTTTTCAGACATGGAAAACTTTGAAGTAAATGGATAGGTCCATATACCGTAGTCGACGCTTCATCACATGGAGCTGTCACTCTGCGCGACAACGAAGGTAACATCTTTAAGGTAAATGGCCATCGTTTAAAAGTTTTCCTTGATCCGTTAGAAGTTGATCGTCACATAGATGTTGTGAATCTAGTCTCTTTTAGCTTCTACCCGGAGTCCTCAGGTCCCCCTTGATTCGTTAGTTTTTAATGCCATGAGTCCTTAGGCCTCCTTCTAGTTATCTTAGGTCTAGCTTTCATGAATAAAATAAAATAAAATAAAGTCGCCTCCTTGGTCTTCCAACCAAGTGAGTCCTTTCCGCTTCACTTTTGTCTTTGTTTTTTCTTTTTGTGTCCAATAAAGCATCCCAGATACAAAGACAAGTGTGGGGGTGATCTTGCACATCAACGCCGTAACCAAAGCAAGATCACCCCAAAAGTGATAAGCCATGACAAACCATATGAATCATCCTCTGTTTTATACAGAAAGCAGGTTTGCACAATTTTTCTTTGGACATCCATTCTATCTTGAGTTCAATTTGATTATCAATTCTAATTCTAAAATATCGAAGATAATTAAACTCAAGCTAGGGATGGTACAATTAGAGTTCATGGTCTTCCTTAAAATAACATGCATGCCTATTATTGTTTGCTGATTACTTGTTGCTTGTGGTGACATATCCAATAGGGACCCCCTGTTATCTAGGTAATTGATGAATAAGATATAGTTTGATGATAGAAATCCTGCACTTCATGTTGTACACTTCATTTTATAAAAGAAAGAAAATATAACGATGGTAAACTCCTCATTGATATTTTTATTCCTACTAGAGCCATAGGTTGATTATTCATGATTAACTTGCTACATACGCTGCTTGTCATTACATTGAGCGCTGTCAAGTTTTGAGATCCGTATGAAATGCTTTTCATACTTTCATGGTCAAGATCACATACACCCACCAATGCTTGACTTCTACACTGGAAGTTAGCATTCATCATTTGTCATACATTTCATCCACTATTCACAAAATAAATACTCCATGTCATTTATGCCTCTTCCTCCAAAGTTCTTTAAAAAAATGAGAGAGAGGCATGGCTATGCAAAAAGAAAGAAAAAAAGTGCTCATACAAGTATGGAGCATGATGATGAGAAAAAAAAAGAAAGAAAAAAAAAGAGATAGCCATGCACTTTCCAAAATTTCAAAAGAGAAAATAAATGGAGGAGGTACACAAAAGGAGTTATTATTTTCATTCCTTTTCACCCACAAATTAACCATCCACATACACATGCACATTTTTGACCAGAAAGTATGTCTCGTATTTCTGTGGATCCATTATTTGACTTTGTAATATATGTGATGCAAGTAGTGCTCTACTCTTTTCCACACCCTGAGCTCCACATAAGCCTTATTAGATGGTAGGAAAAGAAAGGGGCATTTGCAAATTTGCCACCGGTTTTTTCAATATTGTAAGGATGCCACTCAAATGACAGTTCTAGTGGTATTTTTGCAATTTTCTAGTGGCAGTTTTGCAATGATGATTCAAAGTAGTTTCAGAGAAGGCGCAATCATATGCCATTGTGAGGAATCATACACTTTGAGTGATCGAGAGAATCAATTGAGCAACAAAGCAGAGTTATAATTTTGTGTTACATGAAAAACCCTAAGTTGTTCTTCATGAAAAGTTAGGGTGACTTGAGTCAAGATTGTTCCATTTCTCAATTGCTCAGGATTGCATGGAAGACACTATAAAGATCCACAACTATAGGTATGACTTTGAATAATTTGTTTGCATGATTATTAGTAAGAAAGTCATAACCCTGTTGTAGAGTCCATAGCCTTCACTCGGACGAGTGAAGGTTAAGTGTGGAGGTGTTGTTGACGGTCCTTAAATCATAATATTTGACCGTCAATACTTGCATATAATGAAATAAAATATGGTATCCAACTTAGTGGTAGGTTTTATTACTAATCATTTCCACTAGTGTTGGTGAAATATGTGTATGCGGGTATTTTGAGGAGAAAACACATCTGTCATGCGACAAAATGCACCTCCGCATATTCAGGACGCGTTTACACTGATTCGAGGGCCCCATATGTCAACCAAAACCACTTAGAATTGAGCCAAATCAAAGTACATGATGTTGGAGGCCCAATAAGCTACCTACCCGCCAAAGGAGAGGCCGGGAAGACATTTTTTTGGTCCGGCCGAACCGTTGTTGTGGCTGTTAATCACCAGCCTTCCACGTGTACGCTCCTGATTTCATCCCAATGACGGTTGGAGGGTAGTTTGGTCGTTTCCCATACTTGTACTATCATATGGAGGCTATAAAAGGAGGAGCTTACTCTCATTCCAACACACACAACTTTGAGCTGAATTACAAGAGGCTCTATTGTATCTTTTGTACATTAGAATAAGGTCGAGAGTGAGGGGAAGCTCTGGAGGAGTGCCCGGAAGTTTGGTGCTCATCCGACTTCTACCTCGACGAGTGTAGCTTCCTAGGAGGAATTCGGGAGGAGTACCGGAGCTGTCGGTATACTCTGCTATGGGTTCGGAGAAACTTCTTCTATTAAGTAAGCATCCATGTTCCTTTCTTATGTTATTTAATTACTTTGTGTAAGTAGGATATATTTTCATCTTTGTGGGTTCATTGTTTAGTATTCATACTAAGTTCTCTAGTACTAGGACTCCGGAAAGAGAAGGAAGTTCCTGCGTAAGTATTAGAGTAGTAATTAATAACTTAGACATGGTGTCTAGGTTAGAGATTACCTTTGTTTGTTGTGTATCCCATGGATTTGTCAAAGGTAGGTGGCAGGTGGTGACAGCCCTGAATCCCGTCCTAGTAATCCTCCACGTTCGGGTACATCATAGAGCTATAGCCGGAAACACGCTGGCAGACCAGTAGGGGTTGGTGCCCGAAGCAACAGATAGGAAATTATCTTTGCTTAGCTTAGATAGTTAAAACACATAGAAAGTCCTCTCTAACCTACCTACCATTAGGTAGATTACACACGTTCCTTGAGTTCGATATCCTTTTAGGGTCACCCGAAGGTGAAGTGCTACAGCGGTATTCCGTGCACTTGCGGATTTATATGTGATCGTAAGAAATACCAACAGCGGCTGACGCGGCGACGGGCTCGGGGACGGCGTGAAGGAGGTCGGTGGAGGACGGCGGTCGGCTCGGGGATGGTGTGGAGGTCGGTGGAGGACGGCGGGGGACGTCGATGCGGCAGTAGCAAGGACGGTGGCAAGGACGGTGGGGGACGGCGTGGAGGAGGTCGACGGCGGCCGACGCGGGCTCGAGGACGGTGCCGGGCTCGGTGGGCGACGGTGTCGGGCTCCCAGACGGAGGTGGCGGCGGCATGAGGGCTCGGGAACGGCGGCCGATGGCGGCGGTGGGCTCCCAGAGGGTGGCGGTGCTAGGGTTCAGAGAGTGGCGGAACTTCGAAAAATTTTCGATCTAGATCTGAGCGAGAGTGAACCCTAGTCCAAATATGGTCAAAGCATTATCTCAATCGGGCTTAGTCTAGAGCCCATGACGGGCATCAAAGTAATGCCCGATAGAGTTGACATCATCTCTATCAGGCATTAAACTAAAGCCTGTAACGGATGAGTCATCTGTGACGGGCCTTAAACTAAATCCCGATAAACATGACGTAATCTGTATCAGGCATTACTTTAAGGCCCGTCACCGATAGTATTTGTCCATTTTTTACATATGAACTAATTATTTTTTTATATTTGTTTGCTATTTTTAGTTGACCTGTAGTCAAAATAATTCACTAAATAATTTACCAGATTAACTAAATTCACTATAAAAATTATTATTTTCATATATTTCACTAAATAATTCACTAAAGTACAATAATTCACTAAATAATTCATTTATTTCACTAAATAATTCACCAAACTCACTAAATTCACTAAAAAAACTATTTTCATATATTTCACTAAATAATTCAGTAACGAACAATAGTTCACTAAATAATTTATTTATTTCACTAAATAATTCACCAAATTAACTAAAATCACTATAAAAATTACTATTTTCATATATTTCACTAAATAATTTACTAATTTCATATAACAGAAAGGCTTGTTTAATGCTACAATAGAAATTCATAGGAATATAAGTACTTCATTCGTACAAAAAGTTTTTTTAATAATACAAAATATTTCATCCATCACATGAAATTCCTAAAAGATCTATGTTCGGATATTGCTTGTGGTACAATATGTAGTGGTTTGGACAAGCGTGAATTCTACTGACCTCTAACCCCAGGGGACACAAAACCTGATTAGCTTCATATGTCATCTCGGACAATGTGTTCTCATTAGGAAGCATGGCCTTCAAAATTCCTATAAGATCTATGAAAATCTTGCCCGTCCATCCACTACTTGCCTTCAACTTCATTAGGTCCAAGGTAGCTGACAATTTGGTGTGTTTTGCTTTGCACCCGGCATACAGAGACATCTCCGAGTCACTGGCCAACTTGTTAAACTTTATAGAATCTCTCTCGTTGTAAGCTAGGTTCTCAACATCACGTAACATGTCTTGCAGTAGATTGTGATCCACATCAACCATTTCACCGCCCAGTGGAGAATGTACAAACATGTCATGCTCATCTCCATCTTCCTAATTTTGTGCACCACTTCCTGATTCATGCTCATGATCTTCATGTTCTAGATTTTGTGCACCACTTCTTGATCCTTGATCTCCATGCTTCACCCAACATGTGTAGCCCTTCATGAAATCTCTTTGTATCAGATTAGCGTGTACGTCCACTCTGCTGTAAAACATATTCTCATTTTTGCAATCTGCACATGGACAACACATGCAATCGTTGTTTCTTCTTTTCCTATCCTCCTCCGCGGCGTTAATAAAATTCAATATGCCATTTCTATACACCTTGGTATGACGTCGCATAGTTTTCCCATACATCTAACTTTGATCCATCCCCGAGCTTCATAAAAGTAGAAAAATATTAGATATACATTTTGTAGGTAAGTATTTACTAAATTTTTGAGAATTGACTACTATTTTTCAATTAAATTTGCAATTTATGATTTTCTTGGAGAAAAGAGACAAAAATCACCGCCTCATACTCCCACCAAAATAGTGAACAGTGGGATAACCATTACACTAGGTAGTTGGGGTATTTATACTGTGCAATAAATATCTGTAACGGCCAAAAAAAATACGACGGTAACAGGTATTTTAGTTATCTTTGTCGGGCCTAAGTAAAAGCTCATCACCGATAACATTCATCGTGATGGGCCTAATATAATAGTTATTTCAACCAGGCCTCAAGTTGGAGCCCGTCACCAATGATGGACATCAGTGACGTGCTTCTGTTAGGGCCCGACAAAGATATCATCAGTTATCTTTGTCGGTCCTCAAGTTGGAGCCCGTCACAAATAGGTGTCATCCGTGACGGGCTCGATTTTTATGCACATCTAACATGTCTGTGCAAGTATATCTTTGTCGGCCTCGTTTTGGGCCTGTTTGAGATGACTTCATTGTGACGGCCCGCAAAACCTAGACATGTGAGGAGCCGTCACAGATAAGATGATCTGTACTAGTGTATAAAAGGAACGAATCCAATGAATAGTTGATTTTTCCAATACAGCATGAATAAACCTTATAATGAATCTTAAGTCAAAACAAATCAAGGTCTCATTCATACTGTTTTGTATCAATAATCATAGGAACCGTAAATTTTATTTCATGGAAAATTCATTACACTCGGCTTGCCAATCTTCTCCACATGATTTCCCAAACTTAATACAAATATATATTGGCCATTTTACACATTACACCCAGTCTATGCTCTACGCATGCAGAGAAGACTAGCTAGCCTGTTGTGTGTGGTTGGTACACGGGCACACAAAGATTTCATTCTTCTTGGAAGTCTCCCAATTCAGTAGAATATATTATGATACATGATATATCTTTATTTTGTATATGTAGAGTTTATTAAGAAAGCATACGGCCCCCATCGACGCATATAATCTGGCCAGTGATGTAGGAGGCCGCAGGCATGCACAGGAACGCCACCAACGACGAGATGTCCTCAGGTTTACCGAGACGGCCCAAAGGAAGACGGTTGAACTCAACCTGTGCGAAATCGTTGCCGGCCACGAACTATACACATGCAGTGCAGGCACCATGTGTTAGCAACAATATATATGAGAAATATAAGTATGTCATAGTTATAAACTTTTCCATAATAAGTAGTATGTCATAGTTATAAACTTTTTCATAATAAGTAGTACTATGTCCTAGTTACAAACTTTCGTAAATAGTATTTAATTATTTATGTTCTTTCTCTTACAATTTCCACTTTAGTCTCATCTGACATATAGCAAAATTAGGTTGGAATTCTCACATTAAATGTAGGAAAACTTTTCAATTCTTAATGTACTTGGATGGTCAAATGGTGTTTAGCTTTACAGTCATCTGATATTTTCTTCTTAATTGCCATCGACTAAAACGTAGCACATTAAATAGCTTATTAAACCCTTAATCCGAAAGATCACAACTCTTGTATAATTTAGTGTAACTTTTCGATTTTATTTTATTAATCCAGATGTTGCATCTTCCTAGCTTATAATTTGGTGTGTTTATGTATTACTAAGATTTGCACTAAAGTATATTAATTTCTTATTGAAAATAGTTAGAACACTGTTTATTTCACCTTAACAAAAATTGTGACATGTAAGTGATATATACATTAGAAAAAAAAACAGTTAGCTTGACAAACAACAGATGAACCCAATAGTATTTTTTAAAGATATAATTTTGTACAAAACGCAAAATACCACATGCCACCCGGTTGTTTGTCCCCAAATTATGCTTTCCGAACTGTTCAACCTCTCTAGGAAAGTTTACAAAAGTCCAGCAAGTAATCGAGATCGTCCGGGGACCACAGTCTTATTAATTAGTTGCGCCCGTTCATTAGAAAAAAAAAAGGTCTTTTATGATCCCTAAAATTAAAATATAATGAGACATCATACCTTTCATTTCGGTATCTCTGATGTCAAGACACTAATAGGCCGTAGCAAGATACTAAAACAAAGCGGCACTAAAATTATAGTACCTAGCTATTATTATTTTTGAAAAATATTACTACCTCCATATCCATATTTTAATGTATGACACCGTTGACTTTTTATTCAACGTTTGACCATTCGTCTTATTAAAAAAATTATGTAATTATCATTTATTTTATTGTGACTTGATTTATCATCAAATGTTCTTTAAGAATGTCATAAATATTTTCATATTTGTATAAAATTTTTAAATAAAACGAATGGTCAAACGTCGGTCGAAAAGCCAATGGCGTCATAAAATAGGAGGAGGGAGTATTTGTAAAACGAGGAACTTACGGCAGTTAGGAGTGGAGTCTGGATGTAGCCCGGTGCAACGGAATTGACTCTGATCCCATCGCTCGCCCACTCACAAGCCAGGTTCCTTGTGACTTGGTTCATTGCTCCTGACGTTACAAAGCGCATAGCTAGTGATTATTACAACTTGAGAAGCAAGTGCACATAAATCAATTCATTAATTTCTCTCGCGCTGGATGTGCGCGCCACGTGCCAAAATAAAACATGAGATCTGAAATAACGCTGGGTGGAATAACCCTCTCACATAATAAACTAGATAGATGGAGTTAGATTTAGATCCACCTGATAGTGGGAGTTGAGTTGGGTGAAACGCTCTCACAAAATAAACTAGATAGATGGAGTTGGATTTATACCGTTTCACAACGATACATTTAGGATGTAATAAATATCATCCTATACGGTATACATGTATTTGCCTCAAACTATACCATCATAACATAAATTTCTGTTAAATTTTACAAACTTATTCTAATAATATAAAACTAATGGTACGTTGGAAATTTAAAAGTTAAACAAAATCTAATCCTAAGCGTCGTCAAATATATGACCTGAAGGAGGAGGTGCAGTTCAGTGAAATTATATTTGCAAGCTAGGCTTGTTGTTTTGTGCAATAGGACAAGAAGTCCATAGCATACAGAGTGGGAGTTTAATTTTTTTACCTTTGGCAGCCGAGTAGATAGGAAGAGAATGGAACGCGAGGACAGAAGCGACGGACGAGATATTAACGATACTGCCTCTTCCGGAGTCCTTGAGGAGAGGGTAGAACAGCTGGCTCAGGTGGAAGCACGACTCGAAGTTGGTCGTCATCAACCTCGACGTCTCCTCCGGCGTCAGGTCCGCCGCCGGCTTCAGGTACGCCGTCCCAGCGTTGTTCACCTGCATATATATATATATCCATCCGGCCGTTTCATCGGTTCGTGTCCATATAGAGATATTATACTGGATTAGAAGATAATATCACATATCATGGTGCGTGCTCGTGTTCTTCTACCAGGATGCTGAGCTTGCCGTCGAACATGGCGGACACCCTGCCGGCGAGCGCCTCCCTGTCGGCGCGCACCGCCACGTCGCAGACGGAGACGGTGACGGCGAGGCCCTTGGCCGTCCACTCCTCCTGGCATCTGCTCAGCTCCGCCTGGTTCCGAGCGCAGGTGTGCACCGTCGCGCCGAAGCTCGCCAGCTCTTCCACGATGGCGCGGCTACATGGTTAATAATTCATATGATATGCTTCGATAAATTTGCACCACTGGAATGATGAAGCGTATGAGCCAAACAATTAGTCAGTTTGATTTGGTAAGTTGATTATACGTACCCGATGCCTTTGCTGCCACCGGTGACAAGCGCCGTGGCACCGGCGAGGCTAAACCTCTTGTTTATAGAGCTGGCAGTGGCCATGTATGAAGTGCAGGAGTCCTGTTATTGATGGTAGTTTCTGTGAATCTTGTTTGATTATTGTGTGCATCACCGTGCCCATTATATAGGCATATATGGACGCCCAAACCTACACATGTAACACGTTCAAATGACTACCATCTATATATTTTATTACAAGAAACTAGGTCTCGATCTTCCGGTAGGTATTGATAACTCTTGATTTGATGGAAATTGACAAACATGATTCGGCTTTCGATCAACATGATCCGAACCCTACAATCACAGCACTACGTCTCCTCTTGTTATCAACTGTGCACTGTCCGGTTGACCTCGTCGAGAAGTCTGATCCCTACCGACCCTCCCCATATCTCTCTTGATTATATTTCTATGAGTCGGCTGAATAGATTATGGAGGTTTCGTGCTTATATGAACTCCTCACCGAATAGACCCGCACTAGCATGTTCCAATGGATGAGTACAATGCTATGCTAGTGAATCACACTTGGGAGCTCATTCCGAATACACCCGACACTAACTTCGTCACAAGTTTAAGATGATGGCTCTCTTGACAGATATAAGGCTCATTGGGTTCTATGTGGCTTCACACAACGTCTTGGCATTGACTTCGATGAGACATTTACGCTGATTGTCGAACCATCCACTTTCAGCTCTCGGGATTGGCTGATTCATCAACTCGACGTTAAGAATGCATTATTGCATGGTACTATTCAGGAGAATTTATTGCTCTCAACCGGTCGGATTTGTGGATCCCACCATGCTTGACATGGTTTGTCGTCTGAACAAGTCCCTCTATGGATTGTAACAGGCCCCCCGGTCATGGTACAGCTAGTTTGCCAACATTCTGCTTTCTCTTGGCTTCACAGAGGCTAAGTCTAATGCGTCTCAATTTGCTTATCATCGAGGTTTTTCTGTGATCTATCTATTACTATATGTTGATGATATTGTCCCCATATATAGCTTTCTTTGGTGACCTCCTACGGATGATTATCACTGCTCTTCAGTCTGAGTTCTCTATGAAGGATCTTGGCAAATTCCATCACTTTCTTGGGATAAGTGCTCGTCCTACCGACATCCATCTCAGTCCGTGTTAGTATTGTCTTGAGGTCCTAGAACATGCTGGCATGACTGGTTGCTATAGAATCGAATTACAAGAACTAAGCCAACCAGAGAGGGGAGGGTGAATGGTTGGTATACCCAAAAACCGAAAACTTTTAGCGGAAATAAAAGTTACCCTCAATTTCGATGAGATCGGTCTGACCGAAGTAGATTAGCCGGTCTGACCGAAGCGAGCCGCCGGTCTGACCAGTGTTGATCTACCGGTCTAACCGCCGAGATCGCCTGCTGCTTGCTATCGCCGCCGCCGGTCTGACCGCCGTGTTCCCGCCGGTGTGACTGCCGATTGCCGTCGGTCTGACCACCGGTGAGTTGCCGGTTAGACCGCCGAAACCCGGTAAACACAAATCGAAGAACTCTTAAAGTAGATGACGACTTTATTGATTCTCTCTGTGTTTACAAAGTGCACCAACAGCACTCCTTACAAAAATTTCGACTAAACTCGAAACCCTAACTCAAAACTCAACTCAATTGCTCTCTAAAGCGATACAGGGAAGCCTCACGCTCCCCCTCTATTTATACATGGGGTAGGCAGCCTAAAGCCACGAACCAAACTCATACTAGGAGTCCTAAACACCTTAGGAAACCCTCTAGTACAAGAAAGAAACTTTACATAACCAATCGTACCAAATTTGGACTCCTTCCAAATTCAACTCCGCATCCCACACGCACACAATAACTCCATCGTATGCCATATGGAATCTCCATCAACCACGTGCATCAACTCTAGCCTTAGTATCCCGCATGATCTCTGACCACCACGGACGTTGTCTTATCCCCAAGCCGACTCCCGGTCCATCACCGCAAATACTCTCCGGAGACATCGAGACACCTACTCATGGAACAAACAAAGAAACCATATTCTTTGACCAAGCTATCTCTAACTTGACTCATTAGCAGCAAACAATAGTGTTACATACGTATAGTATCCATCTAGAAGTCATAATCATGAAATAAACTCGGATATCCAACTAAACAACCCGAAACCGAAACCGACACAGTGTCGGCCGGTCAGACCGCGGGCTGCGCCGGTCTGACCGCGTATTACACGCCGGTCTGACCGGCTACCAGAGCCCAGTCTGACCGGTCACATGAAATAACAATCCTGCGATTCACCTGTAAACCCAATCATCACCAAAACCACTTCGTGAATAAATTCCAAATAACAAAACCAATAATCTCCAATGCCCAATTGTTCATCACAGAATAATAATCAAAAACATCTTTAATTTTACAATCTCCCCCTTGATGAACACATTGGCAAACTCATAAAAATGTTTTGGTGTTTGGAAAAATAAAAAGCACACTTCGTACAAATGTACACATCGTGCTAAAAAATCCAAAAGAAAACTTCTTCCCCTTTTTAAAAGAAAGAAATTCCCAATTGAACCAAAAACATGCTCTTCTCAACAACTCTTCAAAAATTCACCATGCTTCTCCAAAAATCCAAAATTTTCACATTACTTCTCCCCCTTTTGACAATGATTTCATAAAATCCAAAATTTTCACATTACTTCTCCCCCATTTGACAATGATTTCATCAAGCATAGGAATTATGTTCATTAATGTTCAAGAGCTCAGCATACATATAGCATATCAAGTCATATGTTGCAATAAAAAGAAGATGAATCCATCTATAACATAACAAGCATGCATTAAAGTATAACCATGAACCAAAGATTTTACAATTAAGTTTGAAACAATAATAAAAATTCATGATTTCATACGATTTATAATGCAACATCTTAACAAGCACATAGGTTGAAGAATAAACACTAAACACATATACCTATTGTATTTATCACTCTTTCTCAAACAACCTTTAGCACAAAATAACCAAGAGAATTTTTTGAACCTTTTTTTTCTCATATTTTTCTCTATTATTCCGGGTACGTCCCTGTCGTCAAGGCTGTTTCCAGGGATTCGGCACCCATTTTTTCTTGCTCACATCGAATATGTCCTTGTCGTCATGACTGTTTTCAAGGATTCGGTATTCATTTTTTCTTATTTTTATTCTCTTTTTCACAATAAGCAATTAAAGCTATTTGAGGAATAACAAGTCAATAAAGCATATATATAGAGCATTTATAGATCAAACCATATGCTAGCATCAACATTGCATATTTTCTTAATTCAAGTATAGAATTTAAGTGTCATGCATCATCTCCCTTAAAAGCAAAATCTAAATCTCATGAAAAGACTAGAATACATACAAGCTATGCTAGAAACAAATAAACCTTCAAAGTATTGCTAGCATGCACAAGAAAATACCATATGCATAAACAAAGCTCTCTTTTCTCAATTTTTCTCATTGTCATATTATTGCTTGATAAAACCATGAGGTACAAACTCCCCCTCAAACCATGCCAAAAGGATGAATTATGCCCAATTCACCACGAAGAAAAGCAAAGCGATTAGAATCCAAAGGTTTAGTGAAAATATCAGCAATTTACAACTTGGTGTCCAAAAACTGCAATTCAACATCTCCCTTCTCAACATGATCCCTCAAAAAGTGAAAGCGAATATGAGTGTGCTTTGTACGTGAGTGTTGAACATGATTCTTAGCAATGTTAATAGCACTAATATTATCACAAAAGAGAGGTACTTTCTCAAAAGTAAGACCATAATCTTTCAAAGTAGATAAAAGCCAAAGAATCTGTGAACAACAACTAGCAGCAACAACATATTCAGATTCAGCAGTTGATTGAGCAACACTAGATTGTTTCCTAAAAGACCATGCAATCAATGATGTACCAAGAAAATGACATGTTCCACTAGTACTTTTCCTATCAATTCTACAACTTCCAAAATCAGCATCGGAATATCCACTTAAGCATATAGAAGATGAAGTAGAATACCAAATTCCAAACTCAAGTGTATGATTCAAATACCTCATTATTCGCTTGACCGCTTGACGATGTGAAGCACGAGGAGAAGCTTGAAAGCGTGCACACAGACACACAGCAAATTGTATGTCTGGCCTAAAGCAGTTAGATACAACAAAGATCCAATCATACTTCTATACTCTTTTTGATCAACAGCTTCACCATCTTCATCAGGATCCAACACAGCTGTAGAACCAAATTGGTGTTGAAATTGGCTTGCGATTCTCCATCTTGAACCGTCTCAAAAGATCCTTCGTATACTTCGTTTGATGCACAAAAGTACCTTGAGGTGTTTGCTTAATTTGCAATCCCAAAAAGTACGATAACTCACCCATCATGCTCATCTCAAATTCCCCGCGCATAGTCTCAGCAAAATCTACAAGCAAAGCGTGAGTCGAACAACCAAAGATGATATCATCCACATAAATCTGAACAAAAGGTTGATTATCACCATGCTTGAGAACAAAAAGTGTTTTGTCAACCTTTCCCATTGTAAAACCTTTCGTAAGTAAAAAGTTTTTCAGCTTATCATACCATGCTCTAGGAGCTTGTTTCATACCATACAAACCTTTAGACAATTTAAAAACATGATTGGGAAAATCAGGATTTTCAAAACCTGGTGGTTGTTTAACATAAACTTCCTCCTGTATAAAACCATTTAGAAAAGCACTTTTCACATCCATTTGATACAATTTAAAACCTTTTGAAGCAGCAAAAGCCAACAAAAGTCTAATTGCCTCAATTCTAGCAACAGGAGCAAAAGTTTCATCAAAATCCAAACCCTCAACTTGAGTAAAGCCTTGAGCAACAAATCTAGCTTTATTTCTCACAATCAAACCATCTTCATTTTGTTTATTTTTGAAAACCCACTTGGTTCCAATAATATTATGTCCAGAAGGTGGTTCAACTAAAGTCCAAACTTTATTTCTCTCAAAATTTTCAAGCTCTTCATGCATGGCGTTAATCCACGATTCATCACTTAATGCATGTGACACATCTTTGGGTTCAAAAGAAGCAACAAATGCAGAATTTGCACAAACATCATCAGTCGTTACCTTAGACCTTGTAGTCCGCTCACCTATATTACCAATAATTTGTTCCGGCGGATGTCGTCGTTGAATGTGCAAAAGAGCAGTGACTTCTAAAGTTGATCCATGTTCTGT